TCTATCTAGCGTACCCAAGTTGTAACGAGTTTTTAAGCATAATTCTTAGTAATAATTAAGCTATGAGAATTTAGGAGTCTATTAACTTACCCCGGCTCGTCTTTTTATTTGAGAATTCAAGAGAAGGTTCGGACAACATAACTCACGAGCCATCTTGACATATTTAACATATCGAGCGAGTACAATAGAGTCCCGACCAAGGAAAACTTGACAAGGACAAGCAATCAATTGAAAACCACTCTTTTTTAAATGTGTAAAAGGAATCACATTCTCCAGACAGTTTGGAGAATCATGATGTAAGCAAAATACTATGCAGATTCGTTTAAAGCTGATGGAAATGCCCTTCAATCTCTAAATCAAATCTTATCGTATCGCTTGAGGAATGGACAACTACACATTACAAAGCTCTATTTAAGTGTGGCAACACTTCAGTCTTAGGCATTAAGTCTGCTGCAACATGGTTTTCTGTGGTGCAATGGGGGACGCCGAGATGCCTGTAATTCCCATTATCATTGCTCGGCGTCGTCATTGCACCACTGACAATCATATGTTGCCATCTTTTGATAGTATTTTGTCACGGGCTTTGCTCTTTTAGGCTCCACGTGCGGTGCTTAGTTATGAACCGCTTCATTTGATCATCAGTATGCATATTCAAGTTCTTGCGACGAAGCGTGTCAACAGAAGTAAGAAAACTAAGTTCTACATGAGCTTGATGATTCGTTTTGTAAAGCAATATGTATCTAATAATCTGAGCCACAGATGGTTATCCACGCTGGGCAAAACCGATGAACAAACATCTCTTCAATCTTCTCACCTCATTTTTTCTGCTTCTAATCTCTCTGTGTATATACCTTCTGTTTCATATGGCCAATCCTTAATCTCTTCGAAGCACTCGGTTCACGTTATCAAATTTCTTGATTTGGGTTCTTTGGCGAAGATATACACACACACACACACATATATATATTTTTTATTTTATTTATTTATTATTATTATTATTATTTATTTAAGCTTGTTAATCCAGTAGGAGAATTCCACTTTGTTAATAATTTTTTTCTTCCCTTTTCACCCTGTTTCTTTTATGGATTTTGCACTCTGTTTCTTTTATGGATTTTGCATTCTTAATCAAATATCGAAAGTAAGAGATGAAGTATCTTGAATTCTATGGTAATTTGTAATTTCATTACCCTATGGATCAATTTTTAATAACTATTTTTGCATGATTATAGCTTGAAAAAAATTAATTATGAATTGTTTATTTATGAGTTTAATGGCATTATTTCATCACACAAAATCGATTATTTGTGGGTTTTTTTTATACATATTCCAGAATTCCCTGTCTGTAAAAGTATTGGTATATGTGGTCGATTCATGTGCACATGGATCATGGATGACTACTTGGAACTGAATTTAGGTTATGATACTCGGTTCTGTACATGACAATGTCGGGAAATTATTTAAGGGATAATTAGGCCCTGTACGGCCCATAAGAAACAAAATTGAATAATACACTTTGGACTAATTAAATAATTCAAAACGTAATTATTACGTCTAAAATCTCCCAAAACGTAAAGAAAGAGAAGTAGAGAACTGACTGGTGTTTCTTCAACTTTTTCCCATTTTCATTATCTTGACAAACAGAAAAGAGCAGTGCACGGCCCCGCCACCGTTGTCTCCGGGTTAGCAGCCTACTAGGCACGTACCGACGAGTCTCTACACCTCCATCGACCAGTGGGACTTTCTCACAAATCTATGGCAGCTCCACCTTCCCTCGCAATCCTCTGTAGCACCCTTTGGGCGAATCAACCTCACTTCTTTTAATATGGGCAAGTATTTTGATAATTCTACCAACACGAGAGAAATTTCATGGCGGATTCACACTGCTGCTTCTGCAAGTTCATAGAATGTGCACACCAAGTGTTCGACGTATTGATTCATCTGAATGTGCGCACCAAGTGTTCGACGTATTGATTCATTTAATTCCATATGTCAATATGGTTTCAAAGATTCTTCCAAAGTGATTTCTCAAGAATGTGGTGAATATGATATATGGCAAAAAAAATGCAAAGAGGTTACTCCCCTGCTATCTCGCTTGTCTCTGTTTGTTTTCTTGATTTTGAGCTAGTTTGTATCCCAGAAAATTCTTATGCTTATTCCTTCTCTAGATAGTCCCATTGGAAACTTCTGTTGTAAGATGCTTTATCCTCATTACTGTTTGTAACGAATATAGAATATGTATTGCTAATTTCTGTCTTCCTATCTACGGTACATGAAATATTAACTCAGCATCAAACTACATCCCTAGAGTAGTTGAAAACCTGAAGGGCAAAGCAGGTGAGATATCCAAAACTTGGTGCTGGGGCTGGTGGTGGCATTGGCACTGGTGGTGCCGGCATTGGCACTGGTGGAATTGGTGGGGGTCTTGTAGGTGCGGGATCGGGTGCCTTTATTGTTGGGGCTGGTGTTGGTGGTGGCTGTTGGATAGGTGCATGGGATGCTTGTGGTGGAGGTATAATCGGTTGAAGTTCGGGCGGTGTGGTAGTCGAAGTGCTGGTAGTGGAGATGGCTGCTGGTGGGTGGGATGGACTTGAGGTGGCTGAAGCATTGTGCAAACACAAACAATAAAGTAAAATATAGATGGCCAAACAACCATTTAACTCTTTGAAATAGTAAATCGTGTCACTTTTTTTTAAAAAAGTGACATTGTCACTTTTTTTCTCCACTTTTCTGAATTTTTTTTCATTTTTCATTGTTTGTTACTTTTTAAAAATTTCTATCACTTTTTTGAATAACAAATATAGATTTTGATTAGTGTTTTGTCACTTTTTTAAGTATTTGTTACTTTTTTGAGTGTCACTTTTTTTGAGTTTATATCACTTTTTTTTATTTTCAAAAAAGTGACAATTTTTATAAAAAAGTGACATTGTGTCACTTTTTTCATTTTACACAGTATTTTTTACTTCCTAAAAACCTTTCACATGATTTTTCAAAACACTTCTAATTTTAAGGGTATTTTTGTAAGTACCCCATTATTTAATTTGTTATGATGGGCCGACATATGTAATTAATTGTGTATAAATGTTATCTTAAAGTTAAGCCCAAAATTAAAGTGATCTAATAAGGAATTAAGTAATTGGGCTTTAAATATCTAAATAAAGTGTGTGCCGAACCATATGTGTAGAGGTCGGATCCATTAAGATTTGTATTTGACGATGAGCCTAATACATATGGAATTATATAAAGGGTTATGGTCCCTAATTCATATGTGATTTTCTCATTCTTTGTGACATCCTATCAGCACAAGAATACAAGAGAAAGCATATGAAGAGGAAGATCCATAAACTCATAATCCAGAATTAAGAAGGAGGTTTGAAGCAACCAAATTGAAGATAAACTGATGAAGATTCACTATTCAAGTCAGAAATCAATTAATTAAGGTATGTTTCGCATTAATTTAGTTTCTTGATGATTTGACGTGAAGATCTTGGCAAGTTTATAAAGTTTAAGTTTTAATAAATTTCCTACAGACAATACTTCACAGCATTCTGAGCAAAAACTGTCGTTGCTATGTAATGGTGCCCAAAAAATAAATACGAAGCCTTGTTCTTAATAACGGGTTAGGCTATATGAATCAATTTTCACCATTCCGTTTGGACGGCTGCGAGATTTAGGACCTGTTTGGCGAAGCTTCTACTTCTATTTCTGCTTCTTGTAGAAAAGCTTTTTGAATAAGCTTAATTAGCGTTTAGAAACTAATTTCTAAAATAGTTTTATCTCCTAGAAGAGCTTTTAGAGAATTAACGAGATGAGTCCAAATGTGACTTTTGGGTTTCAAAAGTTCATTTTGACTTCTCAAAAGTCGTGACAAATGGGTCTCTTTGTTCAAAGACTCAAAGCTACTAGATAGTGCATACACAAGGGAGGGGAAAATTTTTTTACCGGGCTATTGTAGTTTCTACGGCTTCTTCCATTGTCTTTCATTTCATGTACTTCCAACATTGAATGAAAGTTTTATGAGCTTTGCTGTAAGTACAGGAATTCAACACAACAATTGGGGGAAAACCACCTCTCGTTAGGACTTATGTCTCGAGATGTTGTTGTTCATTACACAATCGTTTGAACGAGCTTTTAATTGCTAGGGAGACTCGATTTCCACGCGAAACAGATGGATTGAAATGATTTCTTATGAATCCCACGTGACTTGCAGAAGGTCTGCCAATTGGATCGATCCGACATTATCACTAATGAAAGGTCATCAACTTGGTACACGTTAGAGCAAGTGATTGGAGAATAATGGTAAAATTAGAGTTTCTAGGTAAATTATGGCTGAACTCAGCTTTACGTGGTTAGGTTACTGGTTTTCAATTTTCCAAAGCACGATTTTAGATCCTTGACTCGTTCCTCCTTGCCTTGCTTTGTTTCCATCTGGGAGGAGCCCAGAAGCTTCACTTTCAGCCTAGAAGGACTTAAGAGAGAGATGTACACTCGATAAAAAATATTCTATTTTATTAAAATACTTCAACACCTAATTCGTTGCGTCTGTGTCGAGCACCAAATCCAACACAAATTTTTTTATTTGTGTTTGATTTTTCACAATATTTTCACTATATTAACTCACTTTAATTTCGTCAGGTATGTTTTCAATAATAACTTTGTGATTCATGTGCATTGTTCATAACTTTTCACAGTGACGTGAACAAAAACCATTCATTGATGAGCAACCAAGCTGCAGATAAGGGCCCTACTTTGCAAACTAATGCTGCGATTTAATTTATTTTTACTATATTATTTCAATTGTGCACTCAAGAACATAACAAAAAATCTAAAGAAGAAACAAATGAAAGAGGCATTCGATATTCTGTACAATATCAACGTACTAATCATGCCCTCGACTAAAAACGAGTGAAAACCAATACATATTATTTGCTCTAGAATGCAGCCAAAACCCAATCTTTTTTTTCAAGAAAAAGACTTTTCATCTAATGGACAAATAATTGTGTCTAAACATTAGTATTCTCCTTGCTCAATAATGCAGCAATAAATAATTCCTCCATGGCTTGCACAGAAGAACCCTTGTAACTTTCCTCATCTCTTGTGGCATCTTTAATTATTTCTTTAATCTCACAAGCTTTTCTTTTAATCTCCTTTGACTTGTAATTATCTCCCATTACCAACTCTATTTTCTCCATTATTTCTTCTTGTCTTACCGCAAAATTTGTCCCTCTTGCAACCTCCACACAAACCCCAGCCTCTTCAACCAAATACTTTGCATTGTAATATTGCTCCGCAGCCATTGGCCAACCAATTAATGGGACACCATTTTTAAGTGATTCAAGAACTGAATTCCATCCACAATTACATAAAAATGCTGCAGTAGATTTATGGGACAAAATCTCCATCTGGGGTCCCCATTTTTCAACAATTAGTCCCATTTCTTGATCCTGAATATGCTGTACAAATCCTTCTGGTAGCCAGTCTTGTGGTACAAAATCTGCGTTCATGGGATATCCTAATGGTGGCCTAACAACCCATATGAAATTCGTTCTACTTGAATCCAGGGCCTTTGCCAGTTGCAGCATTTGGGATGCGGAGATTGTGTTCTGGGATCCAAACGATATGAATAGAACTGAATTTGGTTGTTTTTTGTTGAGCCATTCGACGCATAATGCTGGACTAATTGCTGGTTTTCGGCCAATTCTTGATCTGTCATATTCTGATAATAGCATTGGTCCAACAGCCAAAACAGGTATACCTAGTTTTCGTCGAAAGTATGCCAATCCTGTCTTGTCTATCACTTCAAATGTGTTGAACAGAATTCCATCAGATTTCGACCAATTTGGAAGATTCTTCCATTGGAATATTGTAAAAGGATCATCTTCTTGTGCAACTAATAAGGCAGGTGATAGTTGAGTTACATGTAATTTTCCAGCTTCTGGAAAATCAGGCAGCATAAATTCTAGACTTTGTGTGTGTTTATGAGGTAAATTCAGCCACATGGAATAGAAACATGCCATCCCATATCCACCAGTACAACTAAAGATTGCATGAAATACTCCAAATTCATGTGCCACATGAGCCGTCCATTCAAAAAGAAAATCTGCTACAACACAAACTGGCTTCACGCCACCTCCATTTCTCTCTACAAGATCAGCAAGTAGTTTCCTAAACGGTTGCTCAAGACAAGAACTGGCTTCGAGGAGGTGGAGGGCGAGTTTATAAGGAAGGGAATCCGAGTTCTCAGCCTCCGGGGGAAGGCCGTGTTCAGCGGCCTTGAAGGGGATTTCAAGGAGGCGAATTGAGGAATTTGAAGGGAGGAATTTTTGCAGTTTCTTGATATTGATAGATGTATTGACAAAGGTTACGGTATAGCCCTTTCGTTCTATCTGTTGAGCTAAGGCTAAAAAGGGTGTAATATGAGAGTGCGCCATGAATGGAAAAAGCACAACATTTTCTTTTCTTTTCTCCATACTTTTCACTTCAGGACGAGGAAGAAGAAAGAAGAAAAGAGACAAAAATGTTATGAAAGTGGTTCCTCTGTATTGATTAGTTGGAAAGTTCTGGCGATTCTAATAGGGAAAAGTTCACTATTGGTCCTTGATATATTATTTTAGTAGCAATTTGATTTCTAATCTTAAATAAACAAATTGATCCGTGATCTTTTATTAGATCTAAATAGTAAATACTAGATGTTGGTAATGTTGGAACACACCTTAAAAAGTGTCCTCCCTAGGTCCACCCCGTCAACTATCGATATGCGACCACCAATATTCTTCCAATGCTTCCTAGTCTTTACATAGCGTTAACGTACAATTGTAGAGTTACTCAGTAAACATCTCCAAAGTCGTGTTCCAACCAGATGATTGCACAGTTAGTTCCAACGAGAGATTACCAAAATTTCTATAAAATCATCGCATCACCTTCCTATGTAGAAGCTAGATTTTGTATCTCGATTTGGATTGGTCTAGAATTTCAATTGAGACTTGTTTCCATAACAATAACATGACAACTACATAGGGGTGTCCAAAAGTCCCGAACTGAACCGGACCGAACCAAATCGAGCGGTTCTTCATAAGTTAAATATCTGAACGAGTACCCGAATCGAGAACAGATGAGTTTGGGTTGGGTCTCGGTTCTAGACCAAGAATCGAAGAACAGAATAAGACCCGAAACTAAATAATTTTTATTTTATTTTTTATATTGAATTAATTAAATTAAATTATTTTTTTCTAAACAAATTAGCAAATTAATTAAATAAATCAGATCATTTCATAATTTTAATTTTAAAGCCCAATACCCAAATCATTTTAAAACCCAAATCATTTTAAAGCCCATTTTAAAAACAAGAAACATTGGAGTTTGGGATCCATTTGCAGTTTTTGATATGGATCACCGATATTTTAATATTAACATCTACTTTTTGGTATTTGTATGCATTGAATTAATTTTATTGGATAGCTAGTTATTTATATGTTTTTGAATTGAGCTACGTTAATTTATAAAAGTTACGAATGAAATGTCATTAATTGTATTTATGTAGTGTTGCTATAAATGTTAAAAAATTTAATTATGGTATGGAACCGAACGATGCCGAACCGAGCCGAACTCAAACGGTTCCATAATTATATTTGAACTCAACGGGTCCATTTATTAAATACCCGAAAGTTTTAGGTCGATTCGATTTTTTAGGTCGGTTCGATTTTGAAGAGAACCGAACCGACCCACGGACAACCCTACAACTACACGAAAACTTAGACATATCATGCAACTACAATGAAAGACTTGTTTCCATAGCATTAGCAATCACATGACCATTTTACGAAAATTTAGACACATCATGTAACTACAATGAAAGATTAATGTCCAGCTTACTACATTTTAAAATTTAGACACCAATTTTTATTGGAATAATAGATCATGGGGCAAAAAGTGCAAGTTTTCCATTCTAATTTTGAAAGTGTCTACAATTTGATTAGGCAGAATTTATATTCAATTCTGTGTGCAGTTTCTAGAGTCCAATGATTGAGATAGACTCTGACCTCATTTTGGACATGGACTCGATTCTCAATTATTGGAGTAAAGTGAAGTGACACAAACTATTATTATTATTTTTCCTAAATGAGTTTTTGAATGTAAAATAAATACATTAACTATGAAATAAATTCTCTATTTCGGCAGGTAAGTCTGCACAAAACTGCCAGCAGAGTACAATCACTAAATCCTGTTATACAGTCAGATAAAATCATGGTAAACCACAAAATGGCTATGGCTCCTTTGTATAAGGATGTTGGCAAAATGTTTAGCTATTTATCCTGTGTACAAGAAAAGGAAAGAAACTTGTGAATTTCCTGTGTCAGCTCCACCAAAAGCTAACTGAAAAACTAGTAGTGAGAGCCTGCAAATAGTGCCACCATTTAGGAGGGATGTAAATCATTTCGCCTTCCTCTAATATGCAGTCGACAAAATCCAGATTCAACACTTTCGGAAATTCTTTCTCGTCTATGTTATCTAGGTCAACCTTCAAACAAATTTCACTCTTTAAGATGAATGAACATGACAATGGGAAAATAAGAAGAGAAGATATTGAGAAACTGACTAAACAGCAACAAATGATTGAAGCAATAAATTACCTGTACCTATTTATTTACTGGTAAGATGTGGGCTATATATCTCCAAGGATGTGATTTACATCTATGGCTTCTCTTAAAGGAAACATATTTCATAAATAAAGTAAAAATATTACAGAAAACTAGATGGCGAACTCCTCAAGACACTTTTACTACCATTTACAAAACTTTTAGCTTTAGTCCCTTTCTTTTCTATATGACATACACCAATAGTAACCCCAAATTTGTTGGAAATAAGGCTTAGTTTGTTGTTGATGCATGATATACAGCAATAATAATTGCAACCAAGTTTACCTTAACCAAGACTCTTAAAAGCTAATGTTCAAGCAATTTCGCTGACAACTACATCTCTACAAGCGTACTCAATATTGAGACTCAAAAGAACTTTCTCCATTCCGAAATACTTATTTACGAGATTGAATAAGAAAATATCCCTAGACCTCTACATTAATGAACCAAATAAATCAAAAAGTAGATAGTTAAACGCATAGTTATTAGACCCGATCCAAAAAATCATCTGGTCAATGGGTTAATGGTTCAACCGGTGGGTTACTGTTATATTTAAATTTTAATTAAATTATATTTTTGAAAAAAAAAAAACCATTTTGCTAAATCTAAATATATATATTTTCCTTACATTATAAGGCATCATCAGTTTCCATAATGGTCATGGAGGTGAAATATCATGCTGCTATCCAAGGTTCAAATCACAGCTACTGCGAATTTAACATAAAATTTTACTACCCTTTGGTAGCCATCCGGTTCACATTGAACAGGATCTGGTTCCACTTAAAACCGTCCGAACTGGACGGTTGTCGAGCAGTTTAGCCGGTTCCTATGCTTCCTAGATCAATTAATGCACCCGGAACGGACCATTATCCGCTTCGGCGGTTCCCGGTCCAGACCGGCCGGTCCGGTTTTAATAACTATGGTCAAACAGATTATAGACAGCACAGGAACAGTTGCTAGGCAAACATAAAGCCAGTATATGACTCAACAAAGAAAAGCATCAATATGCCATTCATTGAAGTATTGGACCATTTTAGACATCATTTTGGTACAGAACTTGTGGAAAGTAGAAGCATAGGTACCTGGCTGGAGTTACTAAGCATGGATTCCGTGTATGGGTAAAGATATTATGACAATGAAGCAGGGTAAAGCCTAATATCCTTTTTGCCGACAACCTGAAGATAAAAATGCAAACCAGCTTTTACAAAGATATTAACATAAAACGAAATTGACATGCACACACTGAGCAGCACAACTATAGTTACCTTCCATGCTGCCTCATAATTAATTGGCACATCAAAATCTAATGGTGTATCATGTATGGATAATTTATCATTTGATTCTTTGAAAACAATGTAGCCATACATATTATCCCTCTTATTACTCTCAGTCAATCAACAACACCCCCCATCCTTCCTCGAGGCACCTGACCCCACCTCTACTCCACCCAAAACCCCAAACATTGCCTTTGCAACCTTTCCTGTGTCAACGCCTGCTCCTCCTCCCTCACCCCCAACACAATATACCATCATTTACTCCACATAATGGACCGGTAAACACAAGTACAAGGATATGAAAAACATGTTCCTCTTTCAGAGAATTAAACTAAAGGAATTATTATACTGGTGAAATGGACAAACATTGAAAACAATATTTATCATGTCACAGCAGTTGACGGGTTAAGTTCCCATTTAATATTGCTGTAATTCTGCCATTGCCAAATCAATAACAGCTTCCTGCCAATTGGAACATTTAACTTAATCGTGCCAATTATCAGAATTGTATTTAGTTGCTTTTAATATTATTTTTACACTTTAAGAGTGTGACTGACGCATAATTTTATCCTAGGAAACTCAATTTCATTCACTGCCTCCACTCATCCATTTACTAACCAATGAATTACCAGACTAAAAGACCAAGCAATGCGGAACATTCTGGCCCCATCAAAACACAAAAGTTTAATCTAACATTTGTCTCTATACTTCTCGATTAAAGGAGACCAGACATAGGAGCCTTAGGAATCAATTACTCTCCAAATTCCAAAAATATAACTGACAATTTTATAGTGTCTCTTATTTGTAATTTACCCAAAGCATCCTAGAACATACTAAACAAAATGTGGTTAGAGAAGAGATAACAATATAATTTTCCCATTTAGCTTAATGAGAAGTTTTCAATTCATTCACTAAACTTGGTAAGTGGATGTTCGTGCCAAATACAAAAATAACCAATTATTGGCACGACGGTGGAGTTGAGCGAGTCTCCACTTAAGCAAACTCAGGTAAGGACGAAGTTAGCTTCTTATTATATTTTTAATCAGTTATGAGACCTCAAACACATATATTAATTGAAAACTCAGTTTCCCCCTAAAATGAAAATCTGCAGAACAGTGTGCTGCAGCCTCACAAAACCCCATGATAATTGATAAGAAACAGTTTCCGCATTATGGAGATAATCAGGTGCCTTCATAAAAAATAACTTGACCTGGAAAGGCAATAAGGTTTACAAAGCGTGACAAAAGATGAAGAGGACCTGATAAAGGAACGGCCTCAGTTATATCCAAGCAGAGTCCTTTATTCATTATCTTCTTTTTATCCAGTAATCTTTACAGCATTAAGAATTATATATTTCATACCTGAGCAAGTATATTGTGGTGCGGATCATTATGCAATGGAGTAACCGTCCCAGCTGGACCAAACCAAGCATTAATAGACCTGATCTCCCCATCCCCAGCAAAAAAGTAGTCAGGTATAAGAATATCCTGCTTTAGTTCTAGTATCTGCCAGTTAATAAACAGTCAACTATAGAAGAGTTATTACAATGTCCAAATGTTAATGCTAGGTTTCCAAAACTAACTCCTGGCTTAAATCATAAAAAGTGCATGCCTGATCAAACAATTGGTGCTGAGCTAAGTAGGTAGTGTCTTTAGAAGAGCATTTATTGGAAGAAATCCTCTCAAGAAACTCAGAAAAATCAACAATTCCTGCTTCCACTCGGAGCATAGATAGTTTTTGCCAACCTGCAAAACATTTACGAATGTTATGTTTCATCAATTAAATGGAGGGGGAGTTACAGAGGACTGATTTCATTGCAATCTTCAGATAATATTTCCTTTCCCTTAGGCCACGTTTGATAGCAACTATTTTCCAGGCAAGATGGAAATTATCTCATCATTTTCCATCTTTGGGCTTGTTTGATAGCAAATATTTTCCAGGCAATTTGTTTTCTCATTTCTGGTCACGTGATGGGTTTTACCACAAAATTAAGGATTGATTTTCCCATGGTAGAGGTGGGTTTTCATTTTCTTGGCAATCGGCAAAACAAACCCTTCCCTCTCTCTTTCTTCTCACAACGTCATCACCAGTGTCGGGGTCACCGCCGGGTTCCAAGAAATGTCACTGCTCTTCCGCCATCTCCCCAGTTCGGTTCTCCTACTCACCGCCGAGGAGTCTTATCGATCAACTGGGAGGCTGAGAGGAAGTTGAGGAGGGGAGTGAAGTCGAGGGTTTGGGAGGGAAGCAACGTCGTATGGGTCGCCCTATAATTCTTCTTATTCTTGGTTGGTGAAATTCAGTTGTTGTGCGATGGTGGAAGAGGCGGAAGAATGAGTGGAGTTCGAAGGAGAAGAAGATGGTGCTGGTGGCGGCGGAGGGAAATCTGGTGCTACTAGTGGAGTTAATGGCGGATTTTGGATCGAATATGGTGGATAAATCAGCTTTTGTTTTGAGCTCTGCTGGTGGAGTTAATGGCGGCTTTACTGGTATCAATGCCGGAAGCCAGGGCGGCAGTGGTGGAGGAAGGCAGGATTCCGGTACTTGTGGAAATAGTGGAGGTGGGAACTCAATGGCAGAAGGAGATTGCAGTAAAAAAAGGTGGAAAATTAAAGCCAATCAAATATCAAAAGATGGAAAATTTCAACATTTTCCAAGTGAAAAATTATACCAATCAAACACAATTAATTGACAATTCCCTGTAAAATGAATTCTAGGCAATTCAATTCCCTGAAATTTATTTTCTTTCCACCCAAATTCCATCCTTGCAATCAAACGGACCCTTAGAGAATCTATCACCATATTCAGTAATCCATGCAAATTAAATTTGGTACGAAAGAAAATAGAAATTTATAAAATGGACCCTCAACACATCAAAATTTTGGTCTAAACTTGAATTCTATTTGAGTTTATGTGCAAGAAAAAAGGAAATCCAAAAATAACCAACTATTGAAGATCAATCACCTCAACTGGAACTGTGCGAAAACCTGCAATCCTTTTAAGATAATTCATATCATTCCACTTATTCTTAGCAGGCCAATGCAACATACAATCACTAATTATCACTGGAGAACCACAGAGGAAATGGTCTCGCAAGAATCCTTCCAACGATAGACAAGACTTTCCCTCAACTTTCTTACAAGATAATGACCTCGAAGGTAATAAGTGTAGCACCTGCAAGCTCAAATAAAAATAGAAAGAAAGTAATCACATGTTGTCAGTCCACTTGGAACATATAACATTTATATAAGAAGAGCAGGCATCCCAAAACTTGTGATAACGAAAAAGCTGCATAAACAACAGTATATTTGTAAAGGGAAAGAACAGAGAAAGGTGGTTTAACAAGGTAAAGCACGTTACTTTGCAAAATCATGGAGCAGCAACAATATTACGAGCGACCTCACATTCACTGTAGCCTTTAGGTTTGAGAAAATTCTGTTTTGGCCTCAATACCTATATAAGATGAATTAGGTAAGCAATGAACTTACCTTAATTGCAGTCTATTCACTAAAAAAATTCAAGGTAGACATTTGATAAAATCCATCCAGATACAAAGTGAATCCATCAGTATCCTCCAAACTATTTTCAATATTCCAAGCATTAAGCAAACACGCGCAAAAAAAAAAAGAATTGTACTTCTTGCTTCACCAGTTGACCTTGATAATGCGTTCATTTTCATTCATTTTTATAGACAAACAAAAAGAAGAAATAAAAGAAAGTGCTACCCCCAAATCAAGCACACACGTGTACTTATGTAAGGCGTAAAATTTTGTACTTTTCGGGCCAACAATTATATGTAATACAAATTTCCAATTTCTTGAACAAACATTAAAACAAAATAACATGAGAATATGCATTTACTATCATTAATTTTCCCAAAGCCTTCCACATTATGCTTTGTTATTTGTAATCTCATCATCTCAGATTTAAGCAAAAAATAAAGAGTACCATTTCCACTTTCTCGAAAAAATAAAGATCAAAAACATGAAAGTATGCATTTCTTATTCATTAACTTCGTCCAAAGCCTCGGACTCCATGCTTTTTCAGTTATACTTTCAAATTACAGATTAAGAAAAAAAAATGTGTGTGTGTGTGTGAGAGAGAGAGAGAGAGGAAGGGGGAGTGACAGACCTCACCTTCGGCAAGTTGAAATTTTGGCGGGAAACAATTTCTTGTTCTTCAAAAAGCTCACTGTTCTTCTGCCCTTCTTTAGTACTGTTATTGTTGTTATTACTGGAATTAAAGTCTTTTTCTCTAAGAGCATTGCTTACTTTCTTAATACACGAATTCAAATCACCTCGTAAGGTAAATCCACCCATGATGAGCCCCAAATCGAGTGCTTTGAGAGCGAGCTTATATTCACCGGACGAGAAATGGTTTCTGGCCACGTAGAGGCATGCCATAGCATAGGCGTCACGCCAGATTGGGCCTAGAGAGTGCCATGGACCGGAATGGAGCTGCTCCCACGCTATCTCCTTGGCGACATCCGCTGCACTAGTATCGCCGCCTGGCTGCCAGAGTGGTCATGGAGGCGAAGGCGTAGCCACCTTCCTCCGTTATGTTCTGTAAGAGAGTGGAATATGATGAGTCCATTACTGGGGTCTCTAGCGTGTTGGTGGAGGCGGAGGTCAACATTAGCCGAGCCATGTGGTGGTTTTGTCTAGATGGGTAGAGGTTCGATCCTTGTAGAGAAAGAATTTCAGAATTATTTTGGGGGGGCTTTTTAAGTGAGAGTGGAATTAATATCTAATGGAAAGATCAAGGGTCTGGGATATTTCTGAACTAGTGAATGAGCAAATTAGAAATAAAATAAATTTTCGGGTTAATTTCACCTAGTCGAATAGAGAGTCAATCCTATGTAGTCGACGTGATAAAGCAACCCTATCAAGTGTAATTGGATTGAGTCTAAACAGGGGCGGAGCCAGCCCTTCAAATTAGGGGGGTCCCGGAGCCCCCGAATTTTTTTTTTGAAACATTATCTGTTAAAATGAGGAAAGTTGGTACTTTGTGATGAAGAAATGAAACAAATGAACATAAATTAATGTACGAAGCCTTCACAAAAAACTCAAGAAACATATAAAATAAACTACTAATTTTTTGAAATACTTCTCCATCACTGAGCCTGAGGATTGAGGAAACTTTTTCACTCATAATTGATAAANTGAAAATCTACATGAAACCGGCCTAAACCTTAATGCACACGAGTTCATGCAAAGAAGGGCTGCCAATTATAGAGGTTGACTTCGTGATGCATTACTGCCTGCAACAAGGAAGCTTGAAAAGCCCATCCACGACAACTTCAACAATATCCGTACAAGTTCAAGTACCATTCTATAAATGCAAACTTTAGGCCCCGTTCGGGAGGGATTAAAAGCCAATTAAAATTGAAAATATGGCCGTTATTGGGTCCCACTCGTCTAATAAAAGTCAATAATAACGGCTATATTTTCAATTTTAATCTGATTTTAATCCCTCCCATACAAGCCCTTAATCTCTCCCAAACATGGCCCTAATTTTTTTTGGTGGGATCCCTATTTTTAATTATTACAGCTAGCGTCAACCGGTTTTGTTATACGAACGGAATTTTCAAAGTAAGAATTTTTCCTCGCTTGGAGAATATCAAGAAAAGAGGTTAGATGAGGGGGCAATGTTAGGAATTCCACCAAGAACATTTTTAATCTTTTTAAAAGAAGTAATTCGAGCTCTTTATTTATTTCATTGTTAGTTGACTTGAAATTTACCCTAAACTATTGAAACCCCCATTTTTCTGATTTTCTTTAATTTTCTAAAATTGATGTTAGTACAAAATGAAACATTTTTGGTGTAGATTAAAATTTGATAAAATTTTTAAATCAATGTGTACAATTAATTTTAACTCGACATTTCATAGAACCCATAAGTTTTCAATCTTCTACTGAAAAGTCTGATTTTAGTTTACGCCAAATAAGAGCAAAGTATATATAAACACAAGTTACAATTTGAATAGAATACACTCTCTTAAATTAAGTAGAAAAATCATATAGACTTCTAGTTAATACCAACTAGTTATTCACTACCGATGAAGATTTATATCTGCAAAGAATCCTACATTTGAGAACTTTATTATCATGCACATAAAAGCCAGGCATTACCATGATCTTGACCCTCATTGGACCCTCTAAACTCTGCCCGTCTGTGAAAATGTCCTCCATGTAATGAGGATCGAAGGGTCTATTTTCATCGACCCGTAAAATCCCCAATGGCGGATTGAATGAAAATGCAAGCAAATGGAGCAACCAAATGCATTTTGCAGCATCAAAAAATGCTTGAAGAAGCTGTTCAGGCCATGGTATCTTCCATCCAAGTTTTGTAATAATGCAACTCATTTTCAGATCACAGAATTCGCTGAATTCTTCACTGTAACATTTTGTCCCTTTTCTTAGAACTTCATTCCAGGTTAGATTTTTCAGCGCGAGAAATGATTGAATTCGTGCTTGACGATCTTGTTGAGGGTCTAAAAGCTTTGGGGAGCCATTTTTCTGGAAAATGCGATTCTCGAAATCTTGATAGAATGATTGGTTTATGATTGCTTCCAAATGGTATTGAACTGCCCTTGTGTACTTTGAATCCAAAGAAAGTTTATATGGTTGAAGTAGCAAGTTCAAATTATCGACTATGGTGCTGTCACCTCGAAATCTTGTTGGGCTCCCTACGGAGGACAGCACAGGGTCGGTCGCCAGATTTGATCTCACCTGAGAGGGCTGCACAGGGTTGGTTACTAGATTTGATGTGATCTGAGACAGGAGAGTCTTGCACAATTGTGTTACGGATAATCTTGATTCTGATACAATCTGCAAAAAGCCCTCAGTCATGATCAATTTTTCTGCATCGCCATCCATTGATTTCCTAATTGGATGATTTGCAAGATTTTCAGCAGAATAGGAATTCTTTTCTTGTCTTGATGCGTTCTTCAGTTCTTCACAATAAGTCTCCAAGTATTCCAACTTCTGGCTTAGTTCTCTCAACGACGTTTTAGTCTCCTCGACTTTGATTAAGGCTGCATCTTTACTCTCATTTGCTTCCATTAACTCTTTCTTCAATGCCTCGATCGATATGGTTCCCAAGTTGTTAACAATTCGAGAAACTTCATCGGATTGTGTTAGATTTAGTGATGAGTTTTCATTCTCGTTCTTCTTCTTTCGCCTAGGAAACAACCTCGAAATATGCAGCAGCCCTTTGTTTCTTTGTTGTGAATGCAAGGAAGGGCGAGAATCGGTTAGTGGTACGATACTAGATTTCTTGCCATTCTTGGAAGTCCCTTCTGTCTCTATACTTATTAAGGCAGGTTTACACTTATTGCAAGCTGACATTGATTTAAGGTCTCCCATACTTTTTCTCCTGGTCTTGCAGTAATTAGTTCCTGGAGAAGCTATAGGAACAGTAACATTATTGGCAGAAGAACCTACAACAGAATTTTGGGATTCGGCTGGACATACGTGCTGTTCTGAGTCGATCAATTCAGACAACGACTCGTTCCTGAAAGATTCACTCACCATTTTGTAATCGGAAAAGATGGTTTCATCAACATCTCCACCTTGATCCAACTCCAAGGCATACTCGTCCCAAAGTTCATCACAATTTGGCTGTTCTAATCGAATTTGCTGATATGCCGGTAGTGGTTCATCTTTATAGGTCTGATAACAATTCACGTTGTCAATAGTCGACTCAAATTTATTGGGAACAAAACTTTATTTTTTATTATTGCATTGGTTAGGCCATGAAAGTAACAGATCTAGAAAATAGAAGTACTAAAAAAGAAGAAGAAGAAGAACTTAAGATCTTGTCTATCGTATTATTTAATCTCGTCCAGCAACACAAATAGAGGAAGAGAAGCAATACTCACAGGAGTGAAGACGGGGTAATCTTGGGCAGTGAAATGAGGAACAACAGGGGAAGTGGCCGTGGGGAGCCGGAGTTTGGCGGGACTATTACCCTGCATTAGAGCAGCATGAAGCGCTCTAAGCTCGACTGTTTTGGCTATGGCGGCCTGAATGTCTTGCCGGCTAATTACTTCATAGCCATTATCATCATTTCCGCTGCTTTTATGGTCTTGCAGGATTTTTGGTGAAGTAATTGAAGCCATGAAAAGTGAGATTTATATGCAGAATATTCAGAGTGAGAAAGAAAGAAACAAAGGGGATGGCCTTGTGAAAATCCAAGGGTTGGATTTGTTTATCTGCAGACAAGTAGATCAAATAATATCCAGCGAACCAATTCTTGAGAGCCAGGAAAATAGATAGAGAGAGATAGAGATGAAATTTTGTCTTTGTTCTAAGAGGATAAATGGAATGGCTGCTGCATGTGCAAGAGACGGTCCCTTCCTCCGCGGATGGGGACGTGTAGCTTTTACTCTACACTAGTAAGAGTGTGTTTGGCCCCCATTTTGGGGAAATTTTAATTTTTGGAATAGTGATTGATGGAAGAATGTGTGGTGAAAAAAGAAGAAAAAGTTTTTGATTTAAGCGTAAGATTATTTGAATGAAAAACGTGTGGTTTAAAATGAGTACGGTAGAAAAAATAATGAGAAAAAAGAGAGAATGGAGCTCAAACATAGTCTAAATAGGAAGTAGTGAAAACACAGCTAAACACACGACATATATGTAAATAATCTACTAAACATTGGTACTTAGCTTATGATAAGTATCGATGACATGACGCATCAATCCATAAATAAATTGATGAACGGTCTCGATATTTGTTATCCACACATACTCAATGTTGTGCATTTCATGTCTCTACTTGTTGACTTCCTTCTACTAAAAATGAAATGTTCTTAAAAATTCTCGCTTCCATTTAGCCATTTGTGTCTATCTGTATCGGGATCCCAATTATAAGAGTATTCTATCATAATCCATGGGGTGAAGATGGGGCGGAATACACCGTTTCTTGCCCATGTGCAAATGAAACCACGTATTTTATTATAACTGTTAGTAAATACGTGATGATTGTGTGTTGTCGATTGAAAACAGAGGATCTTGAATACTATTCGAAATTCAAAAGTCCCAGGCGGGGTGCATTGAAAAAGTCAAGACTCCGCTTATGAAAAATGGAAATGAAAGCAAATCAATTTCAGGTGGATGAAGTTCAGTTAATTCAACTTTTAAGACTTTGGAACAATTATAAAATTATAAAAATAAAGCGATCCAGTATGAACAACAAAGGATGATTAATCAAGTCCGACAACGAATTTTTCAACAAGCCTTACATTAACAATATATTTATCTACTATACCATCTTGTAGAAATTCATTTCTTGTTGATTGAGTAAAAAAAAAATTAATAAATAAAGGGAATTATATAGTTTTCTTTTTTCAAAGTGGAATAAAAATCATAATCATGTTGTCACTAGCAAAAATGATGGTAATTTGGATTATTGTTGACCTTAAAACTAAAGAAAGGTACCACAATCAAGCACTGCTGTCACATTGTGTTTTAAGTGACACTCTTCTGTGGGGACTTTAATTATTAACAAACCAAGGTTAAAAAAAAAAAA